CATCTTGTTCCACCTTAAATGATAATTAATATAATATAAAAATTAAATTATGTTGAATCTCTAATCGATAAAAATATGGAAATGCAATACCTGTCTGGTTAAGCTGCCTCCTAGATTCATTGTACCTGAACCGTGTTTATTTGTCTGTAACCACAACATTGCAGTTGAAGTTAATTTATAATGCGCATTTCTACCGGTTGATTTTTCCTGCACTTCAACAACATGTATCGAGTCCCAGCAACCTTTAATTTTTTTAGATCCATCACCAGCTTTTTTTATTAATATAACTGCAGCAAAGCCATGATCGAGATCCCATAAATAAACGGAAGACACACCACCTTCAAAATAAAGTTCCCGATATTGGTCGAATGCATGATTAGCATCTATTTCTAATTTTCTTAATCTTTCAGAAGGCATTGATCCATCTTCTAAAGGTGGATCATATGTATTACTCCATGGAGATCTGTGTAATATAAGAATGATAAATTAAAATATTATATTATCTTTCACATTTCTCTAATCGTAGATAGTAATTTTATTACAAACCTATAAGAATCCCCATCTCTGTTATAATCGCAAAGAAGATAATCTTTGCCGGATTCCTTATCTTTTGCTATTTTTAACGGTTGATCTACAGAAGAAAGTAAGTCCTCGCATAAAGAAGGAACTAAGTCTATGAGATCGCTTAAATTCTTCTCAATTTGTTGAGGAGGTAATCTTCTCATTAAGTCTAAAGCACAGTCCATTTGTTGTTCAGTCTAAATTAATTAATAATATTTAATATTAATACAAAATTTAAAAATGATTATATATATGTACATATATATATATACATATATTATTGAAACACCATTAAGGAGAACGCCATTTTGACATTTCTTCAAAGTAGGTTATAATAAAGTATAATGATTAAATTGCATCCAAACAATAACCATAACAAAACTATCTTATTAGAGCTTCTTAGATATTATGATAAATAATCTTACAAACATAAACTGTACATCTTGTGTGTACGTCAACAGATTTTAACGCAAATAAATGTTCGTGACTCACCATGATATATTGTTCCTAAATTTTCAATTATATATTAAATAATAAGGAAAGCAAATTACGACAACACTATAAAATAGAACAATATAACAACAATCACAAAATTGTAGTTAATTCCTAACTGTTTTACTTGCATTCATAAAAAAACGAACATTTAAAGGGCGTGTCGAAGTGACCAGCGATTGGCTGGTTATAATGTGTTCTGAAAAATGAGATTGATGTTCCTATATGGTAAATATATCAATCTATTATAGAATCTGTAAAATACAAAAAATTTCCACTTTTAATTAAATATATTCGAAAATAGATAATAAGAATTAAATAATAATACAAATACAGGATAATAAAATATATATAAAAGCTATACAACACCATGAAAGAAAACAAAAGAAGATAAGATACTTATATCAATGCTATAATCCGAATGATTTTTATGAAATCTTTGTTATTTTTTGGATTGTTATAATTAACTTTATTCTAAGTTTGCGCTAAAATAAAAAGAGATTTGTCTTTTTTATAACTAAACTAATTTCGGATCAAACTAATAATGTAACTAGTGATTTTACTTGGCCAATCATAAATGTTGTTCTTCGATTATCACTTTATCGTGAAAACTTTTGCAGTACATGGAAATTTACTACTAACGTAGGTTAATAAAAATATTCGATTAATTTATCTATTCTTATACGTTTAAGATCTATTTTTGATTTTAACAATTCCAATTTGTTGAATATTAGTAATAAAATATTAATTATATAAACATTTTGTCAAATATATAAATCTAGTATTTCTTGTAAACAGTACTTTAGGTAGTTTTCTAAATAAAAATAAGTGTGAAAAGCAAATAGGGGTTTTTAGTATACACCCCTCACTTCCCTCATGAAATATTTATTTCTTTAAAATTATTTTATATAAATTTAGCAAATTGAATAGCACTTATAAACAATTCTAAAATCGATATAAATCTTTAATTATTTTTTTTTTTTCCATTACAATTCTAATAAATAAATATACTTGTAAATTTAATGTGGCACTATACTTGTTAAGTTGCCATTTCCTGTGAACTTTGGAATATTGCGGTCTCGAACTTCGATCTTCCTAATCGCTGTTTTACCAAGTAATACTGTTTAGATTACAATAATTAAGTGTAATATTACCAACGAATACCACATCTTTAATAACAGAATTATGCTTTAATAAAGCATATAAAATTCCCAACACAATGCCAAATTAGGTAAATATATATTAAAAAATATAAGTGATAAAATATCAAGCGATCATACATGAGAAATGTGTATATATATATATATATATATATATGTTTAACTTCTCTTCTTACTAAACAAATGTTTATTTAATTAATGGAAAAATTAAAATCATCAAAATATTAATTTATATTTATTACTAATAAATGAATTGATTTTGATATAAGATTTATTATAATTAAACTGTTATTAACTATGATTATTTGAATTGTCACTTATTTCTTCAATTCTCTATTAATTTTTGTAATTGTATCAAATATTTAATATCAATTTAAAGTTCTTAAAGAGATAATATTACATAAATACACTCGTATTTAGTATCGTCTAATTTCAATAAATCTAGGACACCTTATATAATATTTTAATTAAAAAAAAATTACTTTGTTATATATAATTCTATTTTTAATTAATTTAGTCATATTCTATCGTATCCCTGATGCTTTATCTATCATATATTTGTTTAGAAAGTAAATAACGTATTTGTAGAAATTAAGTAGAAACGTATCTATTATTTATATAGTCGCTAGAAAAAAATTAATATTTTGAATTAATATACTACATTATTTATTCTATGGAAGAATTAAGGTATGTATTATTTTCCAAGTATATTACAAATTTTGTTTTAGATTGAGAAATAAGTATATGTCTTCTACAAAGCGCACAGTTTAGAAACAATAAATTACAAGATGGGCATCCTTTCCTCGTTGAAAAGATCATCAATCATACATCTTATGCTTGGCATTACATTTTTTACATCTGGCTTAATAATAAATTTCTTCCAATGTATTTTATACTTTGGACTTAGACCATTCTCTAAGTATTTTTATCGCAAGATCAACTATTATCTTTGTTATTCATTTTATAGCGGTAAGTTTGTATGGTAGAAAATAACAATAAAAAATATGTCCTAATAATTTATTTATATTTAATACGTATATTTTATTTATAGAATTAGTATGTATGGCAGAATGGTGGTCCGGATCAGATGTTATATTTTACATAGATAAAAAAGACTTTGACAAATACTATGGTCATGAACATGCATATCTTCTGATGAACCATAGTTATGAAATAGATTGGCTAATCGGATGGTTAGCATGTAACCGTATAGGCGTATTAGGGGTAAGTAATAAGCTATGTATTTGTATACAAAAAAAAAAAACAATGAAAAGAGAATTCTACATGATCTTAAAAATTACAGAATTGCAAAGCGTATGCCAAAAAATCTATACTATATATTCCTGCATTAGGATGGGCTTGGAAATTTGCAGAAAGTATCTTTTTAGAAAGAAATTGGAACAAAGATAAAAGTGTAATAGGACATCAAATTAAAGAATTAATAGAATATCCTGATCCGATGTGGGTAAGTAGTAATTTTTAAATAAAATATACTATGCTTTATATTTCTAAATATATTTAATAATTTTCAGTTGCTGCTATACGCAGAAGGGACACGTGTTACACCAAAAAAGATAGAGGCTTGTCAAAAATTTGCCAAAGAAAAGAGTCTACCAATTTTAAAATATCATTTAACTCCACGCACAAAAGGATTTATTTGTAGCATTCCTAATATGAGAGGAAAATCAGCGGCTATATATAATATTCAAATAGCATTTAAAGAAAGCGATACCGTAAAGCCTACCATGACAAATTTACTTTTAGGAAAAAAAGTAGAGGCTCATATGTATATGAAAAGAATACCTTTAAGCGAAATACCGGAAGATGATGAAGCTGCTGCTGACTGGTTGCACAAATTATATCAAGAAAAGGTTTTGCATATTTTACATTATATTCACTTGCAAATATTATTATACAGTAATTACTTTGTTAAGAAAATCTAAGGAATCGTTATTATTTGTTTTCCTAATAGGATCATATGATGGAAAGTTTTCATAATACTGGTGATTTTTTTGCAACAAGTGGTGTCTCTAAAACAGACACATTCAGATTAGATAGAAGGTATTATTCTTTGTTGAATACCATATTTTGGTTTGTGGTGGTATTAGTACCAATGATATATTATCTTATTCAACTATTTTTATCTGGTTCAACTTTATACTTTTCCATTGGATTGGGCATCCTTCTTATATGTAAGTATAAAATAATTTTAATAATAATTATATTTTATATAATTTATTTATTATTTAATTTATCTATTTAATTTTTGTTTTAGTTTATCTGCTAATGGACAAAACAATTCAAATGTCTGAGATAAGTAATAGTTCATCTTATGGAGCTGCTGATGCAAAGAAAATAGAGTAAAGTCTAATTTTGACTATATAGACCAATAATATATATATATATATATATATATATTATATATATGTTATCGTGAAAGACCGAAATAGGAGAATGTCAAGATTCATATGGTTGAATGTCAACGTATATCAAATATGTTAGTGAAANTATATATTATATATATATGTGTATATATATATATTAAAAAGTGTCAAAAATTAATATTTTTTAAAGTATCAATGAATATGTTAAAAATCAATACATAAATTTGGCTTATAAAATATGAACTTATGTTTTTGTTCGATCAATCTTAAATATGTTCGATATATATAGATTAGATTTATTAATATATTCATATGTATCTATTTCAACAAGATTGATATCTTTTTGTGTTAGTTTTTTTTGTATACACCAATTGTTATTGTTAATAAATGTTTTAACCTCAGGTTGTTAGTAAACGAAATTCAATGCTCAACTCCTTGGATAATTGTTTCATGATGCTTTTCTTGATAGCCTTCAATAGGTTTAGCAATATATTTAACAGTACGTAATTTTCCTCTAGCATCATAGTAACCATAATGACCTTTCACTGTACCATCATTGAAACGTTCCTCTAATCTGTATTGTCTGTTTTTTCTAAAAAGAAATTAAAATGATTTTATTTTAGCTAATAATACTACATGGACAATTTGAACGTAGTAGAAGATAGCAGAGGAAAAGGTCCTTAGAAAAGTATTTGAAACCGAAGTGGGTAAGTAAACAGACGAGCACAGAAAACTACATAATCAAGAAATTGAAGAACTTTATAAATTACTAAGCATTGTAGGCATAATGAAATCCTGTAGATTAAGATGGGGGAGGACACGTAGCATGATTGGGAGACTAATGACACTGATAAATTAAGGTCTCTACTGAACATTTCGATTTGACTTGAATGTTTAGTAACAACCATAAGACAACGGATAATTGAGATCCTTGAAAACCAAAGTCTCGGTTAATCGAAGTCTTATTGTATATTGTTACTTCGATTCTTACCCGATTCCGGTATCAAATCCAAAGATATATGTTTTTGGACCTTCATGGCCTTGTATTTGAAATTCTACTCTATCTCCATCAGGCGAAATTTGTGATACATTTGTAGTAGATTTTTTTTTATCATTTTTATTATATCCAATTTGATTTTGTGAAGTTTCCTATAAAGATAATTATTTGCGATTTCTTTATACGTTATAATTCAGTTTATGAATTTTTTATGAAATGTATATTATCATAATTTATTTATTCATTTTATATAATTATATCGTTCAAGTTTTTACCTTTGTTACGTGTGTTGGCGCGTGATCGCGAATGTAAGATAACTGATCACTTTCAATTGTAGGATCTGATATGTTTGGTTTTACAAATTTATGATTCTTTACATTATACTGATTCTTATTTCCTTGTTCATTTTTATGTTCTAATTCTTTTTTCCTTCTATTAAAATAAGTATAATAATCTTTACTTGTTGTTAATGGTGGAACTAAATTTGTTATTAATTTTTTATTATTTCCATTATCAACGTTTTTTCTCAAATTTGTATCATTGTTTCTACATGAATTTTCAAGTCCACATTTATTTGTTGCATTTCTTAATACATAATCAAGTTTTGATACTTTTACAATATTAATATCATTTGATTGCTTTTTTCCTATATTTTGTAAATTATCTTTTAATATTATTTTATCATCATAAATACCGCTATGTATTTCCAAAGGAAATGAACAAATTAAAACAATTCCAATAAACTGTAAATAAAAGAAATATTTATTTAATTGTATATATATATATATATATTAATGCATTTTTTATAAATTAAGTATTTCACGCGTAAAAATAATGTGAAAGTAGTACACTTTTTATTCAAATGCTACGCTTTCACGGTTGATTACATTTTATGGTCAATAATTCTAATACCTTTTCAAAACTAGGAATTTCTTACATTTTATAGATAAAATGAAACAATAAATATATACTTACAATGTATGTTATGTTGTACATTGTTCCCCATAAGAAAGCACAAACTAAACTGCAACTCATTATTCCATGGAGTATATTTAACTGAAGCTTAGAACTTTCCAATATCCCCCCACCCCATCAGATTTAACGTTATTCAGTTATATCTTACTTTATATAAGCATTATTGTTAGGAAGAATAATGTTTCTCTAATTTTAATTGCAATATTTTCATTTTTCTATTTATCTTACATAAAGTTTATATTATAAAAAAAACAAAATAATTAAATAAAGTAAAAGTACTGTATAATAATTTTGATAAAATACATTTCATTTTATTCTATAGCAATTATCTGTTTATCAAAATGATCTAGTGAACAGACTAATTTCATACAGGAAATAATTAAATGAGCCATGTTTCCATAGTATTGTAGTTATTAAATGGAGCAAGGAAATGTCAATTAAACTAGAGACAATTTTATTAGTCTTTCCTATGAATGAAAATTAATATTACAATTGAATCTCATTATTTACGTAGATAAATTTATGGATCAGAATATATATATTATGGTTCGCAGAGATTCTTCGATCAGTAGACGCCAAAATGAAGCCTTGCCTTCTCGCTTTATTTGCTTTTATTTTGACATCGTATTTTCATTTTGGTATAGTAAGTTAAACATCTTTTATAAACTTCTAATATATATAGAAATATGTATAAAAATAATTTATTATAATGTATTGAATTTTAATTTTATATTTTAAAGGCACTAAGATGTCAATCAATTAATCAACAAATTGATGATTGGTTTGAAAAAATTTTAAAAACTTGTAGAAAACGAAATTTAGAAAATAATAATTATGATAACGATTCTTCTTCGAATGAAAGTAATGAATCGGACAGTTCTTCTAACTCGAATGAAGATGATTTTAATAAAAAGTTTTTTGCCAAAAATAATAGCAGATTTTATACTAATGAATTTTTAAATGATCAAAATGATAGGTAATGAATACGAAAATTTTGTTCATATATATATATACACACACACACATAATGTTCTATACGAATTATTTTAAAATAATTTTGTTTTAATTCTATCAATACCAGAAATAATAGAGCTGGCCAATCTACAAGAAATAGTAATTCACAATCTTATAATTCTAATAATGGAAATGAAAGATTGAAAAATGTAGATTACTATAATACAAATAATTGGGGAAATGTGAGAAATTCTGGAAGTAATCGAAATTATCAAGAAAACCGTAATCAAAAACAAAATGACTCTGTAAGGCATAATAATAATAATATTAATAATTTAATTTTTGTTAAATAATTATCTTACTATGTGATATATATAGCAATATATTAATTTGTTATTTTATCTAATATTAGTGTATCTCTCAATGTTTTCTCAGTGAATTAAATGCCGTAAGTAATAATAATTGTTAATAATACTGATTGTGAGACGATATATGTTTTATAATTGATTTCAATTGTTTATAAAGGTTGATCAAAGAGGCTTTCCAGTACGAGAATCTATGATACGAGTAATGACAGAAAGAATCCATGATCTAGAATTACGTGACTTTATAGAAGAATCAATTATACAGTGTTTTCATTTTCTTAATTCTATTAATAGAATGGAAAAATGTGAATATTCACAAAATTTAATTACATGTTTAATAGGAAAGGGCAAAGAAGTAAGACAAATTATTATTTTGTCATGTTAATTACATTCACAGAGATAATGTACCTTATTAAATAATATTTGCATTTTCAGCAATGCGAAGATTGGAACATGTAATTGATTTCCACTATCTTTGGATTTTAGAATTTGCACCAATTTCTTCAATATGCACTACAATATTATTGCAATAATTATGAAAATTATAATCAAGATAAAAGGAATAAGATAAACATACTTTTATGAAGTTATAACTTAGTTGTAGAGACAAAAATTCTAATAAATATTTATGTTAACAATTAATAAACTGTATGTATTTATTTGAAATGTTTACAACAATATTATACTACATTTTGCGCTTGTAAAAACATTATCGTCCATTAAAAAGAAGCATTATTTTATATAGCTCTTTATATATTATTAATTAATACTCCAAACTCTGTAGTACTATTCTATACATTTGTAAAAATCATAATAATCAGCAGAGTATAGTATACCTTTGATTATAATTAATCCTTTTGAATGTTACTTCCTTTTTTTTAAATCTTCAAAGCGTTTCATTAGGTCATCAAAATCTATATCATCATTTTCAGATGTATTTTGAGGTAATTCACTTCCTGACGGTACAGCAGGTAAATCAGGAAGTTGAAAATTATTCATTGGAATTTTTGATCGTGGCTGAGGTTTCGGTTTCTCATCGGACTAAACAAAACGTACAAAACAATACATTCATTTTCACAATTATTAAATCACACAATAAAGTACAGTTAATTATAATTTATCTCACTTGTTTATTTAAGTCAGGTGGAAATGATGAGGCATATGGAGGTGGTAAATCATCTTCCTGAATCAAATGTTATTGCATATTAATAATAATAATAAAAAAAACAATGCATTTTTAGTTTCTTTAACTTCTTGTCTTATGATTATATATCTGACAATGTATGTATAATCCTGTATTACATAAGTTGACTACAAATTCATTTAGCAATTTAATTAAACACTCGGTCTTTTAATTAGCAAAATACATTTAACTAGTGAGAAGTATAACTTATGTTTCTTGTTTGACCCATATAACGAGTTTCTCATGATTGATATTATAAGGCAAGGAATTAATATTCTTAGAGAAAATATATAATTATAGTAAAAATTACTGATCGAGTTACTCACGGGTTTATTAGTATTAGCATTATCCAATGGGATGTTATATGAAAATGCAGTAGGATTAAAGGGTGTGTTTTGATCCTTTTCTGGGAAAGTAGCAGGCCCCATTGGAGGTACAAATCCTATAGGTGGATTTCCCTTCTCCGGATTCTGATTATAATCAAGAATATAAACATTATTATGTTTTCTTTATCTAATCTAATCTAAGTTTTTAATATATTTTACCATTAGATTTATATTTGGATCAGGTAACAAAGGTGGTTGCGGAAAGCCAATAAATCCAGCTGGTTGTGGTCCATTGCTACCACCGCTAGCGAGATCTAAATTATTTCTAGATTCACCACCGTTGTTTCCAATATCTATTAAAAGAGTGTCCACTCCTTCTGCCATTATTTGAGGATCCGGCTCATATTCTATATCATAATTTTTTGCAATTTCAATTAGATATTTTTCAACTAAAAGTTTAGGCGGAGACTGTACGCTCATCTTATGTTTTAATTTCTCAGAAATAGTTTGTATAGCTTCTTCTTTGCAAGCTTCCGTATACTGCCTTCCATATTTAGCAGTTAATATATCAGCAATAACTTTGATCTCTTGTACATCTGTTTGTATACGTGGCGCAGCCCAAATTATTGTAGAAATAGCTTCTGCTAGACCTTCGTCTAAATTCCTATTCAAAGTATAAGTATTACATATTAAAAATATGCAAATAATAAGATATGGATGAATCAAATAGATTTCTAATTAACAGCGTCACAAACTTACTTCATTTGTTGAATTAAGCCAAAACGAGCAAGTAAGAGATCGCAATACATTTCAATTAATTCCATGGCTTCTACCATATAATCTTCTCTTATAATATGTTCCACTCGAATTTTGGCTCTTTCATATTTACCAGCCGCAATGTAATCAGCTATTTCTTTTTGTGCTTTTTGAGCTAATTCTGTTTTCTTTTTTTCTAACAGCTTTAACCTGTTTATAGCTAACCTAAGGTGTGTCTTTAGTTTTGTGTAATTAGGAGTGCTTGAAAACATTTTAAACAATTATTTTAACAGTTATTTACTCGTTCAATATTAGAAATAAGGAATAGACTTTCTGTTCCTTTTGTTAATTGTTTATAATCTCCTGTCTAATGATAATTTGTATATATTAGAAGTGTTCTGAAAATCACTAAAAATCACTGAATATAAAATGTAACTATTTCTTTTATCAAGGAATATTATGTTCGTAGATAAAAATTAATGTGTTTTACTAGATTATATCAGATTACTGTCGAATTTCTTTTATTTGTATTCAAATAAAACTTTGATCAGAAACTTTGTTCCGTTCACGTATTTCTTAGCTATTCCATATAAATGAGTGCCATATTTGTTCCCAAAATTCACGTTATGTTTCAAAGATGCAATTTACGAACAAAATTATTTATCACACACTTATTGCAATTTCATATGTATTTCGCAGAAATAAATTTATCGTCATAAATCAATTTCATAAATATAATCTATGACTACTCATGACTAACCAATAACTGCTATTAACTACTGACAGATATGAACGTGTGTGTGTAAGTCTAATGTTTGTTTGTATTCGTTGGTTTTCGCATGGAGAAAGAATATCCCGAGAATTTCATTGGTTAGAACAGATAGCTGCTTCTCCAATCAATTTCGCAATAAAAAAGAAAGAAAATAGGCTAGAAAAGGATAGAGCGATATAGCATTGGAGTATAGGTTCCCATTTTTTATATTTATGTTTGACCATAAAACATAAATATGCTCATCATATATATGGAATATATTCTTTGATAATATATATGAATATATATATAGTATAATTATATTTAATTTTTAGTATATAAACATGTGTGTGCCTTCAGAAATGCGTTTATACATATATTTTAAAAAGTAGTCACATTAAAGGACTTGAAATAGAAGAAAATATCAAAGGTGTGTTGTTAAATCCAACGATGATCACCTGTAACAAGAAGAAAACTATATTAATCATAAAATCAAGAGATACAATGGCCTGACATATGATCGTCCAATTCGCAGATGCACTTTTCAATTGAATTCATTATTTATTTTAATCAAATCTCTATGTACCGTTGCAATAAAATGAAATTTAAACGCGTGATTTTACATTTACATAAAATAAATAAAAATAAAGAAATAGGAAAAGTAAAAATACTAAGTTACTAAAAAAAAGAATATCTATTAATTATTGTGAAATACTTTTAAACTGCATTATATAGAAAAGGAAAATTGAAATTTAATAAAATGCGAGAACAGTAAAAAATCTTAAAGACAAAACAAGAAAAGAGAAATTACTTTAATATTCATCGAGAACGTTAATTAAGCTTCAAAATTTAATAATAAAAAAATTTTACTTGCATCTTGTAGACGACATAGACACCAATTTTGTGTCCCAAGGAGATGGAATGGTCCATCATCTCCAATTACAACTACAAATTAATGACGAGCAAAAAAGTAATATAATAAAATATGACTAGAGAGCTATTCTCGAAAAGATCGAACTTGCTGTTGAACCTTTGAAAATAACTCAATAGTCTATGTAGTTGCCCACTTGATACCATAAATTTGTGGGGGCCTCTTCGGCCTTA